AAGCGGGATGTTCCGTTATTGAAAGGTCTGAGATAAACTCAACTATGTATAATTATGCCGGTTTTTCCGTCATCGAAACTCCTAAGATATACTTGACAATAATAACTATGCCACTTGTTTCGTTATTGAAAATCTGAGATATACTTGACAATATATAATTATGACGGTTGTTCCGTTTTTAAAATTTCTGACATATACTCTTTATATAATTATGCCAGTTGTTCTGTTATTGAAAGGTCTGATGTAAAATCGACAGTATATCCCTGTTTTTCTGCTATTGAAATTTCTGAGATATACTAGACGACATATAATTATGCCAGTTGTTCTGTTATTGAAAGATCTGAGATAAACTCGTCAGTATATATTCATGCCGGTTTTTCCGTCATTGAAATTTCTGAGATATACTAGACGACATATAATTATGCCAGTTGTTCCGTTATTAAAAGGTCTTAGATAAACTCGACAGTATATAATTACGCCGATTTTCCCGAAAGAGTGCGATAAATCAAAACAAATAATGAATATACGAAAATAAATATATAAAAGGACCAGCTTATTTAAATGCAAAACAGAAAGGCGGTACTTTATGGAAGGTGGGCTTAGTTTAATCTTTCGCTACAAATAGCCTGATTTTTCATACCTAATTAAGATGATGATTCGACAGAGTTTAAAATGTTGACATTTGTTTTCATTTTGACGAAAATTTTAAAGTCTATATGACCAAGAGTAGCCTGTATTAATGCTAGGATTAGAAATTTTTGTATAAAAATAGAGAAAATCTAATATCGTAATATAGAAATGAAGACTGAGGACAATTTAGAAGACAACTTACCCCATTAATGTTCAAATTTTGTTAATGTTCAACTGCTAATATGATAAAGTGGATCTATGTTTTGTATATGTCTTTTATCTATATGTCTTCAAGTCATAGTCATGGTCTTTACGACAAAAAATAGTTTTTTTCAAGATAAGAAAAAGCATTGAAAGTTTAAAAACTTTCAATGCTTTTATATATATATTACATATTTACTATATTATATATATATATATATATATATATATAAAATCA